GCGAAAATGATCATGATGGCCAGAAATTAAAGGAAAACAAATGTGGTGAAGACACTAAATTGGATAAAAATATAAGAGAATCTCATCTGATAGTGGCTACACTCGTAGCAACTGTTACATTCACAGCAGGTGTCATCATGCCTGGTGGTTATTATCAAAGTGATGCATCACGGGGAAATGCCATGAGTAAAGTATCAAAGCAAAATGTTATGGTCCCGGCCCCGGCACCGATTAAAGGAACAACTCCGGGTTATGCAGTTCTAACAAAAAATGTAGCTTTCCAAATTTTTTATCTAGTCAATATGCTAGCCTTGTGTTTGTCCACTTATTCCGTCCTTATGCACCTTGTCTTATTGATACTCCCAAAGGGAAAAGAGAGGTACAAAGTATTTTGGCATTCTACTATATATATCACTATAACGTCTGTACTTGCAATGATGGGTGCATTCATTTCATGCACATATGCAGTCTTAGGTGATTCTCCAGCACTTGCTCACTCGGGTTTAGTTATTGTTGCCTCTGTATTAGTTTTCTTTCTTTATGTTCTAATTTTTGAAGTTGAGAGGGAGAACTTACCCGCTTGCTGGAATATATATATGTAAACTTACCCGCTCGTTTAAGATGATAAAACGTAGATGTCACATCGATTGGGACTAGTCGGTGGCCTCTCTTCCCTTCAAACCTTCGTCCATGCCTCTCCACTCTCCCTTGGGCTTTATTAGCTTTTGGATGGCTTGTATTGCTTGGTAGTTTTTCATGGATTTGTGTGGCTGCTTTTGTTTGCTATGCGTGTCTTCATTTTGCAGATTTGGAGTTGCTGCCTTTTGTTTTCTACTTGGTGACGACAAGGTGGGAGAGCAACTTATGTATTTCTTTTTGTGTGTATCAACTCTTTTTGAGTTTAGTGCAAGTTTGTAGTTTATAGTAACGAGAGTTTAAAGGTGGTTGTAAGTTGGTGCGTTGATGTGTATTATATAAGCTTGATATTGTTGTATGAGTGTGCATTAGAATTGGTTTGTTACTAACTTAAGTTTATCATTTAATTTCAATTGCTTGTGACCAATTTATCAACTAAAATAGCTAATTCTTTTGGATTGAATAATGATGACAACACTGAAATTTTAAAAACAGTTCAAGATTAAGTTTAATTAAGCTTATTTTACAAATCACTACATGGAAATCTAGTTTCTTCTAGCAGCTGTTTAGTAATTAATAAAGTAGTTAACATAAATATTGTTTCTCTACTTGCACTAAACTGAATGAATTGTTCATTTGTTCGACTATATATATTTTCTGACCACAAACTATTTATAACCGATTAAGTAAACTGTAAGTTGGAAGACTGCCCACCACACAAATATATGTGAAATATCTCGTACACGTTACTAATTACTTTTAACAGAAACACCTAACAACAGTGATATTCTATAGTAAGAGATGAAATATTATATTAGCTCATACCACTACGCTCAATTAAACTTCTCAATGTTCACTTCACATATCGAAATTGATCTTCAATTTGTTCGGGATCGTGTTGCTCGTTGTCTGCTCCATGTTTCTCACGTTTCCACCACTGACCAACTTGCTGATGCCTTGACCAAGCCGCTGTCTCGCCATCGCTTTCACCTTCTCCGATTCCAAGATCAGCGTCACCAAAGGTGCTACTGTCTTGCGGGGGCGATGCTCCTTCAATCACTACCACGACATCTCCTCCAGATATCACGTCCATCAGCTAGGCAATCATGGGTTGAGCTGCACCAAATCTGAAATTATTATTTGCATATATGCACTGCTATCCTTATGCATTCTACATTATTAGTTTCCATGTAAAGTTCTCTCCAGACCTGCATATAACTATGTACACCAATACAAACAATATCAATACAATACAAAACCCCCTTTTCAACCTCTGTTTTCTATATTAACTATATATATAACCAAGTCTGTTCAAAATGAACGATAACGGGAACACACCCATCCCTCAATGACTACGGAAAATTCCTAATTCCTAAGCTCTTGTTTAGGTATTGTGGAACTTCCCAGTTTCAAACCCCAGACAGACTGCAACATGCATCTACAATTTATAGTCAGCATATGTGAATTTAATTTAGGCTTGGGTTGTGGAGTCTCTTGCAGCAAGAGGCAACATGTCAGCACAGGACACACTGTTGGGGCACTCTTTCTCTACAATCCCCTTATCAATACTCCTAGTAAGTATAGACTCTTAGAGCATCCACAATGGACTCCCTAAACCATCTCCTTAGACAAATTTTAGGGATGAATGATAAAAATGCAACTCCAATCACGCTCCCTATCCACCTCCTAAAATAGGAAGTCCTCTAGGAGCTCCTAAATCTGAGGAGAGAGAAATGACTCATAGTGGCTCCTTATAATTTAATGCTGCTTTATTTAATGAGTATTTCAAACTTTTATTTAATGCTAACCATTTTTTATTTTATTTTTTAATAGAGATGGACCAATCAAAAAAGAGTTATAGCATTTATGACTCTCCAAATTAGAGAGTATGGTTGGAGTTGAAATTTTTTTGAGAGCTCCTAAAATAGCTTTATTATATTCTTAGCCAAATTTTAGCTAAAAAATAGAGAGCATCATTGTGGATGCTCTTACATGCAGAATCTCAGAGCATCCACAATGGGCTCCGTAAACCACATCCTTAGACAAATTTTAGGCAGGAATGGTAAAAATGCAACTCCAACCACACTCTCTATCCACCTATTAAAATAGAGAGTCCTCTAGGAGCTCTTAAATCTGAGGAGAGAGAAAGAACTTCTAGTGTCTTCCTGTAATTTAATGCTGCTTTATTTAATGAGTATTTCAAACCTTTATTTAATGCTAACCATTTTTTATTTTATTTTTTAATAGAGATGGACCAATAAAAACAAAGTTATAGCATTTATGACTCTCCAAATTATAGAGTATGGTTGGAGTTAAATTTTTTTAGAAAGCTCCTAAAATAGCTTTCTTATATTCTTAGCCAAATTTTAACTAAGAAATAGAGAGCATCATTGTGAATGCTATCACACACACCCCACCCCCAAAAGATGCTTCAGTCTCAAATGGATTGGAGAAGACCTTATTGCATTTAATTTTACCGTTGAAATGAAAAGGCATTCTCTTTTTGTCGCATATAGTTGCAATGCATACTTAACGATCACCAATCAAAAAGAGAAATACTAAAGACACTATAATTTACCATTCTTGGTAATTATAAAATAAATAAATAAAAAGATTACCAAGGGAAAAACATGCGATTTAGTCAGGCCTCGATTTCAAGGTTACCATTGGCACCAACCCCATCCGACGAATAATCCTTTTATTTGTGTGGAGAGTTTTTCTTCCTTGTCGTTCTTGTGCAAGGGTCTTGTTTTCCTAGTGTTTCTTTCAACCCTAGTTGTATTAGGGTCTTCCTATATGCCATTTAGGCTGTGTTTTTGTAGATTTGTGTAGACCTATCGCGCTTTGGCCCCTTAATGTGTTGTCCTTTCATTTTTTGGGTTTGATGAAGTGGATCTTGCATTGAGGGGTAGAGTTGTTTCATTTTGTGGATGTACTATCAATTGGTGCTTTGAGATCATGGGGTGATTGGGAGATGCTCTGACCACAAGCCTAGGTGGAAGTTGAGCACGATTTGCTCTTCCCCTTGAAGGTGTTTTGTATCTCAAACGGGTAGAGAGTTCTCATCTCTCACATAGTGAGCTTGGTTTCAAGATGTGGAATTGATTTTGCTTATTGTGTTGCAATAGTTCTGTTTTATAACTTTGTATTTTGATATATTATTTGCAAGGACCCCTTTTTGGGTTGCGTTCTTAATTCCTCTATATCTTCTATTTTCCCTTTTATTAATGGAATTGGTATAGCTAAAAAAAAAAGTAATTTATTACACTAACTTTTGCAGACCAATTGATGTGGCAATGTTTCATTTGTTTTCATTTGGGCTTAATATGGATCTTATTTATTCTATGGATCTTATTTATTCTTCGAAAACTAAAAAAGTATTACATCAGTTGGTGTCTAGAACTTGTTGTCTCTGGCATTATGGATTCAAAAATATACTCTTAATGCATTTAATCTCACCATTAGAACAGTGAGACGCTCATTGGCTTTCTCCTTTTGTCACTTAGGGGGTCAGTACTAAGGGATCGCCAATTAAAAAATATTCCACGTTCTTTGGTCCACACCCTTAGGCCCTGTTTGGTTTACAGAACGAATTTGAGGGGAAATCATTTCTCATGTCATTTTCCAAGGGATGGAAAATGAAATATTCTTTTCCCATATTAGTAATGCTAGGAAAGTAACTGAGATATATCACTTTATTTCCTTTCCCATATTTGTTATAAGTATGAATGGAAAATAAAGTTTATATAAATTTTCAATTATACCCATATTAAATCAAATAAAAAAAGAATACATTTAATGATATATTGTAATTCTAAATTGTTAATGGGGACAAAATTGTCATGAAAAATGTTTATTTAATATTGACTTATTTTCCAAAACTTTCTCATGATGAGGGAAAACAAAACCTAAGTTGGGAGAATGACTTCACTTTATCCTCTACTTTCTCATGGGTCAGACAGCGATTTCCTATGCATGGACTTACTAAATATGTAAAAGCAATTGATTTCCCATCATCAAATCTCCTTTTCCATGAACCAAACAGGCCTTACTATATTTATTTTTACCATTGAAATGATAAGAAGCTCACAATAAATGGAGAATTGTAACAATAGGCAACGAGGCAATCACTGAGAGAGAGGGTGACAAACGAAAGCTGACAAATGAGAGTTTTTGAAATAAAATAAATAAATAAATGGAGTATTTGATTCTGTATGAGTTGTGTCATCTGTGACTCTTTCAAAAAAAAAAATTCCAAATTTTAATATATTTATAGTAAATAATTTATACATATTTTTCCAAAGATGTATACTTTTTTCTTTAAAAAGCAAGAAGAAAAAAGGGAAGAAGGAAACAGAGTAGCACTCCTTTTTTGCTTCTTTAAAATAAAAAGAACTGTCAAAAACTGTTCGTTAATTCTTTACGGGAGCAATACCCTATCCGCATCTGTCACAATGTTATTTGGCTTTCCAAACATCAAAAGTGCCGGCCGGAAACGCACATGATACATCAATGATTCGAGTTCCCCAAATATAAATCCAAAAAACCTAATACCCACTTTGCTCCCTTCGTTTTCATTTTTCCCTCCACACTCATTTCCCACTCTTTGAAATTGAGAACACATTATGTTCCTTTAATTTCAGTGCTCCATTTGAATCTCAGATAAACCCAGAGTACAATATCTCTCAAACCCACCCAAAAGCAGGGAGAGAAAAAGAAAGGTACCCATCTCTTCCTCTTTAACTTTTGCTTCTTCTTTCTTCTTTTTCCAGTTTTAGGGTATCATTTTTCTTTTATAATATTTTGAAGCTGCTAAAGCCCATTTCATTTTCTTGGATTGCTTCTTAATCTTGGTTCTCTGTTGTTTTACTTGGTGGGTTTAGATTCGTTTGGGTTTGTAGTTCATTTTGAGTTGATAAAGTTCTGATTAGTTCAAGATCATTTTTCTTGTGAAAGTTTGAATCTTTGTGGTGGTTCGATGGTAAACAGTGTGCCTGGGGTGCCCTTTTTAGTTTGTGGGTACTTTGATTCGTATGAATCTATGTTATCTAAGATCCCATGTAGGCTATGCAAAAGAACAGATTTATTTTTCTTTAACGTTGGTTGTTTACAATTTTATGCTTTCTTTGCACACTAATATTGTAGTCCTATAGCATAGAAATTTTCTCAGACTCTGACATTATCTGTAGTTTCGTGCTTAGTTTTGGATAATGAGGGTTTCAAAGAGATTATTGGATCCATAAGTAATAAATCCAAGAATACAAATCAAACTTTTTGGCCCATTATGTATGAGTGTAAGTTGGAGATGAGAAGAGAGACAACGAACGTGACCGTTTGCAATTGGGTTAACCCCATATTGGGAGCTGCGGGGCTGTAAAATATGGCTCTGATAATGAAGAATTAGATGGTTGAGCAACTCAGTTGTGTTATCTTTTTGGTTTTCTGAGAGGGCGTATCTGCTGTGAGTGTCTTGTTGATTTTCTTTTTAGTTTTTAGTTACCCTGAAATCTGTGGATTGGACCAGAGTGTTTTAGGGAAAAAGTTATACAAAAACCAAGGGTGGGAAAATTTAATGTAGTAATTCTTTAATTGTATGAGAATATATCCAAGATTTTACAAAATTTTCAGAAGCCTAAAAATCAGTTCTTCACTCTCATTTTATTGACGAGACCTTTTGCCGAATGAAAATGTAAAATTTTCTCAACCCTCCCATTGATTGCTAGAAAGAGGGTAAGTGAAGAAACTTGATCGGTAATGCTGAATAAAAGGGAATAAAAGATATTGGGAATCTATATATATATGGCAAAAATTGCTTAGTAAATGAAAAAAAAAATGCTGAAAACTGGAGTAACTTGCATGATAACAGTTTAGGAAGGTTTTACTCTTTTACCTTTGTTTGCATACATATTTTCTCCTCCCTTGAAGAGGAAGAGAAATTTTATGCATCACTATTTTTCTCTAGATTCCAAGATTTCTTTTGCAGTGTTTTGAGGGTTATAACCCTATCTCTCTTCTGTTCCATTTTCTAATGTTTCATGTAGAATTTAAATTTTGTCATTAGTATCACCCTACATATTAACACTACTTCTGTTGTCAAGAATTATGCGTGGTTAAAAGATGTTGTTTCTGATATTATAGGAGTTCTATCTCTCATTTCCTGAAACATTCGTCTTGAAAATTTACCATGTTTGTCATTTAACATTTGAAACTTTATATGTTTGTTATGTTATAAGTGGGCTGCTTATCTCTTTATTTAAGTATTTATTACTGTTTTTTTACATATGTGAAGCCTTAATTTGTAGGTTTTGCTGCAATGGATTCAACTCTGAATTCGGAACGCCGGCCATTTTCAATTAAACTATGGCCTCCAAGCCAAAATACAAGGCAAGTGCTCGTGGACCGGATGATAAACAATCTTAGCACTAAATCCCTTTTCACTGAGAAGTATGCCTTGCTCAGTAGGGAAGAGGCTGAGCAAAATGCAAAACGAATTGAGGATGTGGCTTTTGCCACTGCAGACCAGAACTATGAAAAGGAACCAGATGGAGATGGAAGTTCTGCAGTGCAGCTTTATGCCCGGGAATGTAGTAAGCTCCTGATGGAAGTTCTTAAAAAAAAACCTAGAAGCAAGGAGGACAGCAAAGTGACATCCGACACTACACCCACTCAAACTCTGTTTGATATATCTAAAGGTATCCGAGACTTTATTGAGGCCGAGGAAGCTGAGAAACTTTTGAAGCCATTGACGGAGCCAGGGAATACTTACTCCAAAATATGTTTCAGCAATAGAAGCTTTGGCCAAGGAGCAGCCCATGTTGTTGAGCCCATATTGGTTTCCCTTAAGAATCAGTTGAAAGAAGTTGACCTATCAGATTTTATAGCAGGGAGACCAGAGGCAGAAGCTCTTGAAGTCATGAATATCTTTGCAGCTGCCTTGGAAGGTAGTGCGTTGGAGTCTCTGGATCTCTCTAACAATGCCTTGGGTGAGAAAGGTGTTAGGGCTTTTGGGGCACTCCTCAAATCACAAAGATGCTTGGAGGAACTCTATTTGATAAATGATGGCATTTCAGAAGAAGCTGCTCGAGCGGTTTGTGAGTTGATTCCTTCCACAGAGAAGCTTAGAGTCCTCCATTTTCATAATAATATGACGGGAGATGAAGGGGCAATTGCTATTTCTGAGGTTGTGAAGCGTTCTCCCTTATTGGAGGATTTCCGTTGCTCCTCCACTAGGGTAGGCTCTGAGGGAGGAATTGCCTTATCTGAAGCACTTGAGACTTGTACCCATCTAAAGAAGCTGGATTTGCGGGACAACATGTTTGGGGTAGAAGGTGGAATTGCATTGAGCAAAGCTCTCTCCAAGCATGAAAGTTTGAAAGAGGTTTACCTTGGCTACCTGAACTTAGAAGATGAGGGTGCAGTTGCAATTGCTAATGCTCTCAAGGAATCAGCTCCTTCACTTGAAGTCTTTGACATTGCTGGAAATGAGATAAAAGCTAAATCTGTTCCTGCTATTGCAGCTTGTATAGCAACGAAGACACTTCTCACTAAGCTGAATTTGGGTGAGAATGAACTCAAGGATGAAGGTACTATTCAGATCAGCAAAGTGTTAGAGGGTCTTCCCCAGTTGAAGGAAGTTGATATGAACACCAACTTAATCAGAAGAGCTGGGGCTCGGGTGTTGGCGCAAGCTCTGGTTCAGAAGCCTGGTTTTAAGTTGCTGAACATCAACGGAAATTTCATCTCTGATGAGGGCATAGATGAGGTGAAGGATGCATTCAAGAAATCTCCTGATATACTTGGGTCTTTGGATGAGAATGATCCTGAAGGAGAAGATGATGATGGTGATGATGACAAAGAATCTGAAAAGGGTGAAGGCAATGAGGATGAATTGGAATCAAAACTGAAGAACCTTGAAGTTGGCCAAGAAGAATAGAGTTCCTCTTATGCTTAGTTGTCTTTTCCTTTTCTAGTTAAGGTTCCACAGAGTTATTACCCTCTTTAACATCAATGACTGTAAGGCATATTTGGAGGTTTTAGGATGACCATTCTGTTGAATCTTATTATGCACCAGTTGGGCACAACTGTTTTGTGGAGCAGTGTGAAGACACTGACAGGTGTTAGTAGAATTGGGTTTAATTGGATCTTTTATTGTCCTATTTTTAGTCAGTTTATCTTCTGTTTTTGTGTTTGCTTGTTTGGAACCTTATCAGCGTAGTAATCTTCATCTCTCTATTCTTAAAATAGATGCGGCAGTTGATCATTTCTGAAGTTGCTTTCTTTGGCATGCAAAATTATATGCATGTCAAAAGAAAATGCAAGTTATATGACCTGATTTTATGATTCTGAATTATGCAAATTTTGTAATTATATGCTTATCTGGTGATTTTGAACTGAAATATTGTTTTTTGGATGACCAAATGCTAGGAATGCTTGTATTAGGCCATCTCCAATGTAAAAGGAGCTAAACCCAAGTTTCCTTTCAAAATACAACTATTCATGCATTGGACTCAATAAATTTTTCTCCAACGCGCAAATTTATTAAATTGTTTAAGAATGACGTATAAGATGTGGATGTTAGAAGTTCATATATATATATTACACTCGTGAATACCGTACCACATGTATATTGCAGGTTCTGTAGTTTGTCAATATAATTGACTTCATAAAACAAGAAAAAGAGAAAAAAACTAAATACAGACTCCTAGGAGTTCTTTTCTTTTTGTCCATAATCGTGATGAAGGGAACTGTAGATTTAAGCAACGTTTTAAAAAACTGGTAGCGCCATTGAAATTGACTGCGCATAGATTCCCTTGCGCACACAATTTCAAGAAATCCCAATTACTTTAAAAAGCAAAACAAACTAACAAATTTTTCCGAGCAAAAAACTCTGTTAAATATTTTCTACGAGACAAATGCAATCTTATTGTTAAAACTCTAATTAAATTTAAACCAAAAGATAATCAATTTATACATTTCCCTACCACAATTATTCTTTGATACATGGGGTGCAGACATCTTAGATTCATTATCCAACCACAGTGCCTATTGAGCCTGACAATGAGAATGGAAGGTGCTTTTGATAATTGTGAACGCATTCACGTTGTTGCTCATAACTGCTAGACTTTATACAAGAACCAGAGCGTACGGAGGTTAAGTCGGCATCACCATGACCAGATCAGTCTACAAGGTCATGAAATGTTTGCTGCGCTGTGACGTAAACTAATTAGCTGAAAGCTAGTCATTCCTCGAATCCATGTACAAAATCAGCAGCTATAATAATGCCCTTGTAAATATTCTATCTTGAGGGTTTGCTGAGCCAATTTCATGAAGCCCATCCATTTCCCCTTCCATTGGAACTTTGCCCTCTAGCATCGGAGGACGAACTTGTGTTACCATAGCTTGATCTCTTCTTTCTGTGTATCTTGAATGTCAATAGAGGCCCATTCAAACCACTTCCTCCAGCTACGTGACTTTCATGTTTCTCTATTTTTGGTCCTTCAGACTTGTGTCTCTTTGAGGCTGGGGTCAAACCATAGGTATCTTCACTAGCTCCCTCGTTCACCGAGGGCAGATCTTCATTCAATTTTGTGATCTTTTCCTCTGCCCCAGCTTTATCACTAACTAATACACTGGTATCAGATGGAAGATGATGTCTTCTCTTTACCTTACCTGAGAGCTCTGATAAGTCTGCGTGATTTTCTACGCCTTTCTACGGCTTTCATCCACTGTAAATCACTAAGACCATCATCGTATGACTGTACCTCCTTTCTTCTCCGCTTTCCTGTGATGCTACTGCTATCAAAGCCTTTGGTAGCAGTTTGCTTTTCACGTGCTGAATATGCCCACTCGGGAACCTCATGGTCTTCCATAAGGCGACATCTGTAGTTCTCCTTTCGCCTTCTCTCCTCATCCATTTTCTCAAACAGCCAGAACTCCTCATCTGATCTGGCAGCGAGGCGGTTGATTTCTCGCTCGCTTGGCACGTCTGTCCCAAGTGAGCTTGTACCCTTGCGCATGATTTCCTCCAGCATGTCTCTCCTGTCCTGAGCTGCAAACACAAGATACATCTTTTGTCAGAATACAACCTTAGTGGACTGTAAAATAAAGATAACATGCTCATCTTAACCATGCAGGAATCCGACTCAATCTCTGATGCAGACCCGTGCTACCTTACTGCGAGTGGGAAAAATCAGTTTTGGTCCTGTGCCTCATGTGTTGTCAACAGAAAGCTCTAGACATATAACAGATGAGACATAGTGTAGCACTTCTAATTTGCTTCTATATTGACCTTGGAATGGTATGCACGTGTATAATGAAACCACAGTTATACGAACATAATGCATATATGCAGAGCATGTGCAGGCAAAGTAATGCTACCCACTTTAAAAACAGGGTAAGCGATTCTTATACTCCCATTTTATCCATTTGCACTCCTCCCTCTTATTTCATGCTTTGGTAATGGAAACATCAAAGGAGAATGAAAGCACAAAAACCAAGGGAGGAGTGCAAATGGACAATGGGATTGCTAAAATCACTGCCCTTAAAAAACGCTACCCTAAATAAATGAGTGAATGCTGTTGTGCTGAAGCAGACCTACTAGAAGGAATGGCATCATAACAGATTCTTATGTATGAAATTCAAGTACAACAAACCTGTGGAAGTTGTATTAAATAGTCCAGCCTGGATGACCTTGGCATCTATGCCCATCTTCTGTTTAGCACGCTCTAAAATTACTTCTTCAATTGATCCAACACTAACCAACACAAACACCCTAACTTCTTTCTTTTGACCTATTCGATGGGCCCGATCCTCTGCCTGTTGGTCCATCTGAGGATTCCAATCACTGTCAAAAATTACTACCGTATCTGCTGATTGTAAGTTCAAACCAAGACCTCCAGCACGAGTACTCAAGAGAAACATGAAGTAAGGAGAGTTTTCAGCGTTGAATTTCTTTAGCAATGTCCCTCTTTCCTCAGTTTTAGTTGAACCATCCAGTCGAAGATACTTAAAGTCGTGAAGTTGCAGATAAACTTCAAGAATGTCCATGAGACGAGTCATTTGTGAGAAAAGAAGGACTCTGTGCCCAGCTCTGTGGAGTTTTGGAAGTAGACGATCAAGTAGTTCAAATTTTCCTGATGCTCTGATTATCTCCTCCTTTCGCCACATGTTATAGTCTCCCACAACAAAAAGGTATGGGTGGTTACAACACTTCCTGAGCTGCATTGTTAGGTTCTGCAAGCTCTTTGATTTCCCAGAACCTAAAAACAAGGTCTCATCAGTAAAGTCTGACTGAATCAATAATGATAGCAATGTTTAATCTGCTTGTAAGAATGTTAACTGTTCACATTTGCAACTAGCCTTATTTTTTAATCTTATTTTCAATTTAATTTCGTGTAAGATTAGGGATGGGGGTGATATTGGATATGCAGATCAGGGGATGGAGGTTACAAACCATTATCTAGCCCAACTCTGCCCACATCTGTAACTTGTTGATAATATACTTTCTGCCACGCTGACATGTCACATTTCAGTATGACTTGAGATTTTCCAGGAAGGAATTTCTCCACCTCATCTTTTTTCCTCCTCAATATGAATGGCCTTATAACCTAAAACATGAACATATTTAAATTAAATAAAGTCAACAAAAACAAAGATCAACAGAAACTAGGAGCAAGACCCACTTGATGCAGACGGCGAATGATCAATAACTGTTCTTCATCGGTAAGAGATAAACTACCCCGATCCGCAAAAGGTGCATTAAACCAATCCTCAAAATTCTGAACTGAATTAAAAATGTGAGGGAGAAGGAAATTAAGCAGCGACCACAACTCCTGCAAGCTATTCTGTATTGGGGTACCAGTCAACAGAAGTCTGCGTCGCATATCATATCTGCGAACAAGTAAAAATTCAATAAAGAAACCCTCATATTATTTTAAAGTCTTGAAAGAAAAAAGAAACAAGCGGACATGGACCCCAAAATTATACCGTTTGATAATGTTGCAGAGAAGGAAATAACTTGGATTTGATCTTTATGAAAATACAAACAATTTTTTTTTTTGGATTAAGAGCCGATTATATTACTTGAGAAAACAGAATGACATAAAGAACAAGAGCATGTGGTCAAGAATATCACACCAAGCAAACAGATACAGAACCAAAGAAAAAGAGAAATCAAAGGCTCAAGTGTGCCGGAGGTTCCCCACACAGAAAACTAATAGGTAGACTTCCAATCTAGCCAAATTTAAAAGAGAGGGTCTCCCCTGAACTTAGAGGATACACACGCGCATAAAACAGACCATAAACGAATTCTGTCCCAAAGCTCCTCAAAACCTGCTCCAGCATAATCTTCAAAATCCTTTTGTTTCTCTCCATCTATACCACCCATAACACAGCCATGATCATGCAGCTCCGCATAACTTTGGCCTTCTTACCCTTAACAGTTTATGTGTTTCACTAAGAAAAGAAAAGCAGTCCCTTGGACCCACCCAGCTAATACTCATCTCCCTGACCAAATTCAACCACAGACCCAAGATCACAGGGCAATGAACTTGTGACCGACTGATTCCAACCCTATATACAAACTTGAAATATAGAAAACATAACTTGGCAACTCCATGGACCTTTATAATCAGTAAATCAAGACTTGTTCAAATATATGACCAGCTGAAAATTCTAGCATTCCTTTTTGGGGCCAAGGCTCCGACATATTTTACACAAGTTAGCCTCACATAGACCCTTGCATGGTAGACAGTCTCAATCTTTACATTTCATGAATGTTGGGAGTTTAGGGACTTTAAACTAGCCCAGGACCCTCAGAGGACAATCACATTGGTACTATTACATTTTTACATTAAAATCATATGACAGCACAACGAAGGATAATCACTGATTAAGATAGGTTAAGGACTGCTCTGGCTGCCATCAGATAAATTTTATGTTGTTATGCGATCTGCAAGAAAAAACTCATTCCTTTCTCTGTTACCTTTAAATCAAATTTTTTACTTCAACCTTAGCCACAAATGTATTAATACAGAACAGCATTCTACCAAAGTTAAGAAGAATTGTAAAAGAAAAAAAAAAGTATTTCTTTTCATTTTTTGTTTAAATTTGTTCACCAAGGTAAATAGCTAACTGCAGTTTTCTGCCCATCCAAAGAAACAGATAATAATAAGTCCTACTGAATTCAGTAAAAAAAAATTATAAATTCGAAAGAACAACCATAGACTTCATAATAAAGCACCAAAAGATAATAGGCCTCTATTAGCATGAATCAACATACCCTGCAAGTGTTATTGCTAGAGCACACTCAGAATTCTTCAACCTATGCCCTTCATCAACGATCAGGTAGCACCAGCTAATTTTCTTCAAAAATTGTTTATCCCTCATGATAAGGTCATAATGTGTGATCAACACATTAAATTTTCCTTCCCCTGATAATTCCTCCTTCATTGCCTTTCTTTCTTCTTGGCGTCCATCATAAAGAATGGCAGTAATACTGGTCAAGAGGAAAAATACATAAAATGATCCGGCAAAATTCTTCATGCAATCTAATATGTATATAATATATACACATGCACATATACATATAATATATATATATAGAAATTCTCCAATGCGAACATCCGGACAATATTATCGTGCGGACGCCATGTGTTTTCTACTACCTCTCTCTGATTTCCTCACTGTTTACAATGGCATCCGCACGATAATAATGTGTGGACATCCAGATGGAGAGAGAGAGAGAGAGAGAGAGAGAGATCACTGATTAAAGGCACTTCACACATACCTAGGAGCCCATGTTGCAAACTCATTAACCCAATTTGGCAGTACAGCCTTCGGTGCCACTATCAAGTGGGGCCCAGTCACACCCTTATTTTCAATGAGATATGCAATCAAAGATATAGTTTGTATCGTTTTACCCAATCCCATTTCATCAGCCAAAATACCATTCAGATTGTTATTGAACAAGGAGAGCATCCATTGTAGACCCTCTATCTGGTAGGGCCTTAACTCTCCACCTTGAAGCATTGAGGGTTGCTCAGTTACCTGTTGAATTTTAAATTTAGTAAATCCACTACTCTAAAGCACCCAGCACTTATAACACTGTCACTAACAAGCTTAAAAGTTTTAAGAAAATTCCATGTATAACAGTGGTTCAAGTATATGACACTGAGAATCAGGCAAATGGACCACCCCCCTTATACTGGAATTAATTCATAAGTATATGCCTGCCCACCTAAAATAAATTATAAGTATAATAGCCCGGAAACTAATAATGAAGCATGTTCAAAGGCCAAGGGAACTGTCAGAAGGGAAATGCCAAAGGAGGCTCAATCTCCTTAAGAAAGAAAAAGGCATATGCCCCCTTACAGCACAAGTAACATGAATCATTGTGCTCATTTGATTTGCACGAGCACTGTTAAATTCACAAATTTCATAAAGAGAACTTCCCCATCAGTGATTTGTGGTCTAATTTTATGGAAAGCAGCCCGGTTTTAAGCTGTCCAGGTGCGATATGGGAAGTACTTAAATCAATGAATCAATCAAAAAGGTCAAACTGTACGACAGTGCCATATAAAGAATGAAGTGAAGAAAGAATCAACATAATGCAGAAATTGTCAAATCATCTTTTACAGTGTTACCTGTTCCTGAATAGAATGGACGACTGAGTTATATTGCCGCTGACCTTTAAGCAAGTCGCTACTGTCATCATTACAGTCAGAATCAATGATGTCCACATCTTCTTCCAACTCAGTCAAATCACCTTCTGAGTCTTTCAGGGCTTCAATGCCCTCTGAATGTTTAATATCTTTCTGGCGTTGAACAGCAGCTCCCAAATTAACGAGAAGTTTATTTGTTTCTTCAAGAAGCATTGTTAATCTTTCATTTTTGCTCTCCTTTACCATTCTCATGTATGCTTCCTGATCATCAGCCTTTAAAGCTTGGAACCTCAATTTCTCAGCCCGTGTGGCTCGCTGTCTTTGCTTTGCGTGCCAATTCTGTTAAAAATAAGATAATGATAAAGGACTCCTTCACCGTTAAGATGTAGTATAATACACCCTATTTTTTTTGTAACCTTATTGATTTGGTAGTTTAGCCCCCTAAGAGTAACAATAAATCCTGTCTGCTGGAATTAAAGATAATTTTTAAAGATTGCAGTTTTGATGGACTTGGGCACAAATGAGGTCCCTTTTGCTTCTTAAGCAAAGGGATCCCCTCTTTATAAATCTCCTTATGTAGATCTATGCATATAATATGTGGGTGTACAGTCATGATCTCAACTCCTTGGAGCATGAAAATCTATGCTCATGAAATATTAGTTCAAAATCTAACAGCTAACATTTATTTAAAAGAGAAAAGTACTTTATTGGGATTTAAATCAGTCACCGGATTTTAGTCAAATGATAAGCATGGATTTTGTGGCTCACGTTGAGTAGGAGATCAAAGTTATGGGTGAGGTGTGGGTGATCCTAGGTCTCTCCCAAAATTATGTATAAGCATCTTAATGAATTTTTCTGCTTTTTCATGTAATACCTGTTTTTGAAATTCTAATGCAATTAATGCTAAATATTTTTTTAATCTACATATTTCACTAGGTTTCACCAGAAGTTTCAGTACAACATCCCATTCATTTAAACACACATCAGAGGATAATTGAAAAAAAAAAAAAGAGGAAAAGACAAAAATACGCACCAGGACATTATCATTCCTCTGTTTTTGACGTTTCACAGAAGCCTGAATTTGCAATTGGTATTCACGAACAGCATTACGTACTTCTGTGAAAAATCTCCTTTTTCTAGTCTCGATATTGTTCTTCTCCTCCTCTTCTAATCTTGAGAGCCGCTGCATCAAAGGTATGCTACTATATCAGCAGCTTTCAGGATGCGCGCACACACACACACACACACACTTAGCACGTATTCACTTAGATGATCCTCACTGTGGATCATATAATATTTTTTGATAAAACAGAAAAAAATTTCTGATATGTCTCCAGATTTATAACCCGTACTGTCTAGAAACTCACATTTACCCATTATGAACACCTTCAACCATTCAATGGATTTAGCTAGGCATCTCTAGGGCCAAGGGTTGACCATCTAGGGCCAAGGGTTGACCAAATACTCTAAATGTACCTATTTTATCATGTTTATTCAGAACTGACCAGAGAAAATGAAAGAAAGGCTACAAAAAAGAAAAATTCAATCAAATAGTGCCACATCATTCCATGATGTAAAAACTATATAATCTGCAATAGAAACCCAGATTTTCATTATTACCCTTCTAGGTATGACAATTTCAAACAAGTAATGCATGTATTATTATATGACCTCAGCATCTCGTTTCTTCCTGAATTGATCATCAGCCTCCATCGCAAAAGCATCTCCAACACCATACAGTGGACGGCGCAATCGCATCATTCCCCAGTCAAACAATGTTTTGTCCGGATATGCACAGTTCATACGGAGCGAGTATTCTGAACTCACATCACAACGGACCTTCTTTTGCAATTCTGAGAGCTGCTAGAAAAGAAGTCCTTGGCAACAAGGACATATGCATGTCATCCATCGGTACACAAAAAATAAAGGATAACGCTCTCAATAACAATCACAATAATGACTTTTTTTGCTGTATATTTTAGGAAAACACTAAAAAGTGCACAAAAGTTTTTGACTCATTACTTAAGGCACATCTTTCCATTCGTCAGATGAAAAATGGAAAAGTGTCTTTCTGAAACAATTCTCAGAAACAGAATGCAATTTATCTTGTTTCTAGAAAGAAGGAACAAATTATTCTGCTTCTCAAAATCAATCTTTCCGGTTCAGAAAACAAAGAAAAAGTCATTTTAAGATTGAGATTATCACTTTGACACAGAATATCCAAAACAACTTCAGTACATCAAGTTTACCTTTAGCCCATAGAGTTCAAGCAAGCACTTTGTCTGCAGGTCCTCTCCTCTACTTGAAGGTAATTCTGATTCAAAATCATTAGTAAGTAATGGCTCACCCTTCTAGACCATAATATCAAATTTTACTGCATAAAAACACTTATGGGACTCTAAAAGAAGTTTAGATAACAAATCAAAGGTTGAAGTGATACTTTCTGGGTGGTCCATAAATTAAGTACATCGCAGGTTAAGACATGACCCAAATGCAAAAATGATGTGGTCTTTGAATTAAATGCAATGCAGGTTAAGACATGATTACTCTTCATTCTTTTGCAAGAAAAAAATTCAGACATAAGACCGACCCCAACCTGGTCTCACCCCCCTTCACCACAGGAGTTGAGGCCTAGCCGATCTTTAACTTCCACATCTACTCTAAAACATGGGTTAGAGTACAAAGAGACATCCGACATCAATAAATAAAGAATTAGTTTTTTCTTCTCTTCTTTTTTCCTTCTTATGTTTTGAACATAGTAACAAACCCAACTGCATCCCACTGCCTACCGCCTGATTAGCTAATAGAATATTATTCCACAACAACAATTAGGAGCCTAATGATTAAATTATCTCGCTGCTTTACCAAAAATTCAAATGTCATCAGATGCTGAATAAAAATTATTCATAAGGTTTAACACGAATGGCATAATGAGCAAAAGAATGTGAAACACTCGGTGTATAGTTATCATAAAACCAGTCACCTTCAAGTTCGGTTAATCTATGCTGAATGTGGCTTTGATAACGTTTTTCTCTCGATTCTATTAATCCTGCACCTGACATGCAATTTTGACGTTGATTCAAAAGTGCATCTTCAAGGTCTGCTAACAAATCTTCTCCTGCGGAACCATCAGGATCATCCTGTAGCATCACATATATCAAGGTCAAACTTCTTGAAGCAATGAAGCAACACAATAAAGGACAATAAAACACCAGCTGCAACCCCCTCCAGTGAATAAATTCAATTGGTTAACGCATAAAGGTAGAAACTTTTTCCTACAGAATTCCATATTTTCAAGCTTCACTGAAATCCCAAAATAAAAAAGAGCCCAAATCACCAATTCCACACACAAAACCAAACAAAGAAGCTAAATTGACAAGAACCCAAGAACCAAAACCGACCCAAAACCTCGAAAACACCCTGAAAACCCCAAAACCAAAACCCAAAACGCAGAGAAAAGAAAGGGAGTTAGAAGAAACCATACCAAACCCTTGTCATGTTCGAGATTGGCATCTTGGGCGCTGTCATAGATGGACGAAACGACGTCCAAGAGGTCGGGAGGGAGAGGGAGATTGCGGGAGACGAGGTTGAGGGCACAGATCAGAGTCTTTGTCTTGTGGATGTGGTCGAGGCTCTCAAGCTGAGCCATGGACCTTGGCGGGAGTGAACAACCCAATGGATCTCTTTAAACGGTCTTTTTTTGAATTGAATTATTAGGAGAAATTTTAATCTGTGATGTGCTTTACAAATAACACACGCTCTCTCTCTCCTCTCTCTATCTCTCGCTCTGTTTATCGCTCTGTCTATAAATCCCTTTGCCAAAACAAAGAGGTTGGTTACTTGGGTTGTCTTCGGCGTTCGGGTTTTGTCGCTCTCTTTTTTCTCTCGGGTTTTTATATATAAATGAGAGAAAAATATAGGACCAAGTTACGGAAGGTCCTCTTTTTGATATTGTGGTGTTTCCAAACACGCCTCTATTTGCCTAGTGAATGACTGAATTGCCCCTGGGAGGATGTCAAACAGAGACCGTCCATTTCTACACCGATTATGCCCCTTGCTTCAGAATTTCTTTTTTCTATTTTCCTTTAAAACGTTTGATTCATTCTCTTTCAATATCACTTTTATATATTTCACCCAAAAAAAATATCAATTTTAAATAATAAAAATTTTGTTTTCATCAAGGGTAAGTTTACATATTTATTTAAAAATAAGTAAGCTTCTTAGCACGTGCGGTAAAACGGAAAGTTTACATATTAATTTAACTAGCCCCTCGGCACATGCGAGTGGTAAAATGGAAAATATAGATAACTAACCAAGGGCATTTTCTAGTATTTTGAATGTTAAAAACAAATAATTTACCCGTTTTTTTTTTTAAGATAAACTTATCAAAAGTAAATATATGATAAACATCCAAGGGGAAATTACTGAACCATTTACAAGTATTTGAGGAGGAATGTCCTTTTTTGACTAATGTATCAACTATCATATTAGCTTCAAGGAATATATAATGAATAGTGACCTGAGTGAAATTTGGTAGAAAGTGCCAAATGTCTCGAATAATTGTTCGAACATTTAAGTTAATTGTGGTTACTATTTTAAACTTTGATTTTCTTTTTGATAAAAAGTCATTTTTGGTCCATGTAGTTTATCACTTTTATCATTAAGGTTCCTATAGTTGCAATTTGATCAATTTTGTCACTATAGTTTGAATTTCAAGCAATTCAAGGACAATCTCCAATTTATGTAAAATTACTCTAATATGGAAGGGTATTTCAATCCAATCTTGCAGCTCCTCCCAACCATTCCCACAGCCACCCCAGCAGCCCCCTACTATAGCTTTTCTTATGCTTTCAAGTCTCAAAGTCTCTTACCTCCAATCTTGAATAAACAATTGTGTGACTCTTTAGTCTTAATCTCTGGCTTTTGTTTTTTGAAAATTTCATGCTTTTTGGCAACGCATGGAATTAGGCTTGGAGTTGATAATAGAGAGAGAGAGAGAGAGAGAGAGAGAGAGAGAGAGACCAAGGAGGAGTTTGGGGGAGGAAGGATGGTTGTCAAGTGGTTGGGGAGGGGCTTATGGGCGCTTGTGGGTGGGGTTGTAAGATTGGACAGAAGTGCCCCTCCATATTAGAATAATTTGACAAAAATTGAGGGATTGTCCTTGAATTGCTTAGAATTCAAATTATAGGTACAAAATTTATCAAATTGGAACTAAAATGACCGTAGTAGTAAAAACGATAAACTATAGGTATCAAAATGACTTTTTTGTTTGAAATTCTAGATCCTCTCTTAATCAAGGCTTGTAAAAGCTAACTTGGCATGAATATAATGACATGGAAAAACCTACTAGTTGAGCATTTTCTTTTCATTTTATACACTCGTTATTGTAACCAAAACCACTCAAAAATATACATAAACAAATTATTTTATGAGTAACGGACACGCGCACACTAGAACAGCATAATGAATAATTGATATTATAACAAATGGTGTGCCCTCAACATTTTTCTAACAAACTTTTCTATAATTGCCTGAAAGTTCTATGTTCTTTTTCACACTAGGTTCATGAATGAAGTGTTGAACAAATTTTAAGACAATAATGCCATAATTTCAACTCTGAAAATAATTGTGTATTTTACACGTTTACAACAAGAAAACAATATAAGACCATGCTCAGAAGCTCACCATCTATGCTCTGCAATATTGACATGGATTACAACATCAATTTGAACATACTTTCCTTCCAAAAAGAAAGGGATTGTAAAGTCATTCCCAACATTGCAGCTCAGACTAGACTATTGTACACTGAAACAAGCAGCTTAAAGTTGAGCTTGCGAACTAGTTGGGAAAAAAAATTAAATACGAGAAAAAGAAGAGGATACTCTATCTGCCGCTAAGTAACTAATACCGTCTTTCAAAATGTTAGCAGCCAAATCAAGAATCAGATTCCCTATCTTGACCCCAATTGTGGAAATTCTCAATGTCCTGCAAATAGTAAGCTCTAATGCTAAACTCTCAGCAATGCTCTGTTGATTGGTTCTTGGAAATACTGAAGTGAAATGAAAATCGCTTCCTGTTCATGAAGATGCAAATTAAGCCATACTAACACAAGTTTCAATACGAAATTCTCATCCATGAATAGAAAAGCAAAGAGATACTAAAAATACCTCTGTTCGAATTGTTCGACTCCCCTGATGTGGACATGTGTTCAAATACAAATCAAATACCTCTCGCACATTTTTTGCCTTAAAAAAGATGCAATAAAAACAGTATTCAGTACCATTTCCTTTCTCTATCCATACTTTCAGTTAAACAAAATACTAGAAGTTGTGCCTCATCAAGCAAACGTGTTTCCAAGATCATAAAGATGTTCAGAAGTCCAATAAGGGGATGTTTTTTGGGTAAATAAGTTTAAACCCAATACATTTTTGAGTTATCCAGACGTATGGAGCCGTTTGTTTTTACACCTTATAGCTACTTTTAAGACATTTTATAATAAAAATTCAAATTAATAATGCAAATAAGCATGGCTTTTAAAAGTTTCTTCCACAATTGCCATTTTGAATCTGAAGACTTTCCTATATTCCTCCTCACTCTCATCCTCTTCTCTCTTCCTATCATCACCATCGTAAACCCCATCAAGAAATTAAAGTAAATTGAGTCAAATTACATCCCAAGCAAAATCAAGAACTAATTGAATGTCAACAAATGAAAAAGGAAAGTTGTAAGAATTTCAACGAAGTTTGTAATGAGGAAAATGGAAGGAAGAAGGGAAAAACTAAAGACAAAACAAAGGCTTGATGAAGGTTTTAGCTGGTAGCACCAGACTCCAACCCAGCCATTCACAATTCAAAGTTGAAAAAAATTTCCTGCAGAACTATAAGGGCTGTTATTATTTTCTAGCTACTTACACCAGGCTACACCACACCCATTTGAAACTCAAAGTATCAAACCAAAGCCATAGGAACCTTACCTTTAAGTTATTATCTTCTTCAATGCTCTCTTCCAACCCAGCAAGTCCACCAAAAGCAATCAATAGATGCCTGCCAAATCATTCATTCAGTCAATTAAAAAAATATCAGCAGCGTAATGAGTACAGCATTTCGATGTCTATAGTTTCACATTTGCTTCATGCCCAACAAAAGCCCAAAAATTTCTTAATACAGTTGAAAGTAGTAATAGTAAAAAGATGTAAAATATCTAGAAACTTAAAAGAGGAAATCTGATATATTGCTACAAATTCACTGGCAAAAAATTCAAAATATAGGTCCATAATCCTTTAAACACAACTGAATTCAATCAGCATACAAATCAAAACATTCAACGGGAAAAATACTTGACAGTAATTCTCTTATTTACTCTTTTCAGTTTCTGCTTAACACAATTTTTGACATAGAATATTGTAATAGAGTTGAAATGGTTTCCTTCAGCCCAAATCTCTGAGAAGGACACCAGGACGACTACTTAACAAGAAAACTAAAGAAACCACAATTATTGAGGAACAATTCAAGTACCTGTAGAAAAGTAATGGAAGGGAGAAGGGGTGGGTGGGTTGGTATCGATGTTATGCTTAATGATATGTGCCTGCATAGCACTCACCTACTATTCCTCATGTAGCAAATAATTTAAAGGAGGCAGGGTGGATAGTTCATAACTTCTCAAAATATAGATGGTTCAATTGGCCTGAGTCATTTTAAATGGATTTTGACTGTCAGATTTCACCAATTTTCTACATATTCCTCAAAAAGAATTTGTCACCACACAGAGGTTAACAGATTGAAGGAGGCTGAAATTCCATCCCAGGTACATCAAGAGCCTGACCAGTAACTAAGCCATCTAGTTGATGAATACGCAACACAGTAGGCATCTATCCAATTACAAGATACAGAGCACAACAATTGCCTTAAGTGGCTAAGGACCAGCTACCCAAAGAAAGCAATACTCACAACATCTAGAAAAACAATCTTATATATGGTTAGCGTGTTTAGAGAAGAGTACCTGAAGGTAGGTATAGTGAGATCAGAGGAATTAATAATCTGACCATGCTCTGAGGTACCAATTGAGTGATCATAGCCACCCTGTGATTGAATAAAAGAAATTGATGAAGAAAGGCCCTATCTGAATGGTTAACCAAAAAACCATGAATTGGTAAGGGCAAGAGGGGCTCTGAGAGAGAAAGGGTCATAGAGTGAACGCATGAATACCTTGTATGGGCATTCATTCCTTACTGAAGTAATATTGGAAGCATAGCGCACTTTGTACCCCCAATACTTTCCTGCTTCTTCCCTAGGCTTGGAAGATGAGACAACTTGGCGTGATATATCTAGATGAATGCAATAGAAAAAAAAAAGAAAAAAAAAAGCCTTTACCCATTTGGATTCATAGTATAAAAAATAAAATAAATTAAAAATTAAAAAAATTAAAAAAAGGAGAAACCTCCATTAATGATAAAGAAAGGAATCAGGAAAGGCCACAAATGAATTCAGGAAAAATCATTACCAGCATCCAAATTCCGGTTGGCTCCCATGGCCACAGTAACTCTCGTCCCAGGTTCAAGTACTTGATCAACGATGACATTCTGCATTTTTCATCACTAAATCAATTACTGGCTAAGGCGGGAGGAAAAGGCAAAGAAGAAACTATCAAACAATAACTCTTGTAACAGTAAACCTAGAATATGAGAGAGTACCTTACTCAAACCCACATCAACTAGTGTTCCCGCAGGGTTAGGAGATCTTTCTTTTAGTGTAACACCTATAAATTTACCGCAAGCTCTCACAAAATAAGGCCATAGGTCGAAACAGAAAACAAAGAAACTAAACTAAATGATGAAATTCAGTTACAATGGGAAGTCTGAACTGAACCATCTCATTTCTCAT